CGAGGAGGAGAATATGGAGGAGGAGGGGATGGAGCAAGGTATGTTGTAGTAGGAGGAGATGGAGGAGTTGGAGGTGGAGGAGATGGAGGAGATGGCGGAGATGGAGGAAATGGAGGAGGAGGAGGACATGGAGGACATGGAGGACATGGAGGAGGGCATGGAGGATGAGGAGATGGAGGACATGGAGGAGGAGTAGGAGATGGAGGACATGGAGGAGGGCATGGAGGAGGAGGAGATGGAGGAGGAGATGGAGGAGATGGAGGAGATGGAGGAGTACATGGAGGACGAAGAGATGGAGGAGGCCTTGGAGTACATGGTGGAAGATGTTGAGAAGATGGACTTCGTGAGGGTGATGGCGGTGATCAATCAACGAAGCAATCAATCAACGAATCAATCAATCAATCAATCAATCAATGGAGACTGTCAATCGATTATGCACTCAATGAACAAATGTGCCCGTATCTAACTCCATGGCTGTCTTGGTTTGTCCATGCAGCTTGAACCTTTGCTGCATGCCACGCTGACGCAGTGGTCTCACAGGATTCGACACCAATTCAAGGGATTGGAGAGTTAGCAATCATTCATTCCTTGGGCCAGCGTTCATAGGCGGCCAGTCGCTATCCTGTTCCTCCCCGTCCTAGTCATGGCGTCAGGCGGTAGACGGCCACGAGGGGGGCAGCTCCCTCCATTCGAGCCAGTGCTTGCGCACAAGCAAGCAGATCTGAGGCGAACACATGTGGTGTGGGAGTGGGCGGAAAGGGGGCAGGAATGGGGGGTGGCGGGCGGAGGCAACTTCCTTCTGCGCTGCCGACTGTGTGGGGAGGTGTTCACGGGTTCGAGGTCCAGAGCAGTGGAGCACTTCACGAAACCGAAGGCACACTGCCCCCGACGGAATGGGGAGATTTTGTATAGACTGCAAGCGGTTGGTGCTTTGTTGAGGGATGCATTGTCACTCAGGCTGGCTGCTGAGCACGCAGACAGGATGGATGGAGAGCTTGCCACCGAGGACTTGCGTGAGTTGGACGAGCCATGTGACCTGGTGCCGGATCGTGCAGGAGGAGTTGGAGACGGTGATCGTGGTGAGGGTGGTACACAGCAGGGGCAGGATGCCGGGACTGTGAGAGATGAGTTGCAGGGCGTTGAAGGTGCAGGAGATGGTGGAGGGGATGGAGGGGGAGCTCGGGTTACTGGCACGACGGCCACCACCTCCACACAGGTGGTGCCGAGGAGGAGACAGACGACCCTAGATGTTCATCTAGGGAACAAGGTCCAACACGACTTGATCGTCTGTTGGCCCTTGCTATCTATCGAGGTGGAGTGCCCTTCAACAGGTTGTGGTTGAAGGAGACGCAAGACTATTAGAACTACATAGTCACACTCCTGCGTCCTTCGATCGTGCCGGTGCCACGGCTGCTGACATACGAGGGAGTCCACACGAGGATGATGGACATCATTTTCCACGAGGTAGCAGCCCTCATTGCACCTAAAAGGCAAAGTGGGCTACCACAAGATGCACGCTGCTGACAGACGGGGCTACCGACATGACCAACAAGCCCATCATGAACTTCATAGCAGCAGGACAGTCCGGACCCATCCTCATCCGGACCATCGTCATGTCGCATCGGGAGAAGACGCGAGTCGGCCTGGCAGAGATTTGGGAGGGAGTCATCAGAGATGACATTGGCATTGACAATGTGAATGCCATCTGCACCGACAACGCAGAAGTGATGAAGACAGCAACTGGCATCTTGCAGTCACACCCCGGGTGCGCACAAGTTAGTCAAGTTCATGCGCAACAAACAACGAGCCCTGGCACTTCACAAGACCATAAGAAGAACGCGCTAGTACTGAAGCGACCAGCGGAGACGCGTTTTGGGACAACGTTCATGATGCTGGAGAGGCTATATGAGCAGAGGGGTGTGTTAGACAAGCTCGTGTCAGGGGAGTTGTGGGCGCAGGTGCAGTGGACTGGGGATGCGAGGAGGGATGAGCTCGAGGTGCGTAGGATGTGCAAAGACGATTCTTGGTGGGGGAGGGTGAAGATGGTCGTGGACGTCATGGCCCCGTGCTTCAGGTTCCTCAGGGACATGGACAGGGATGGGTCATCACCCACAGGATTGTGGGATTTGGAGAGCATATTGCGGTGGAGGGTCAAGGCTCTTGGACTGACGGAGGATGAGAGGAGGGCGGTCATGGATATCATATCCGACAGATGCAGGATGATGCGTCAGCCTGCCCATGCGGCTGCGTATCTGTTGGATCCTCGCCGTCGTGATATCTCTTTGCTGGTGGACCGCAGCAGCTCCCTCGTGCAGAGCGCGCTAGACCACTTGGCTCACTTTCAGGGTGCGGGTTGGGAGTCTGATTTTGTGCATAACCTTTGGCAGGCATTGTGGACTTTCCATTGCAATGACCCTCGCTATTTGCCGAAGAGTGGAGCGCACTGGTGGGACGAGTTTGCGGTGAAGGACTCGGCGGAGGGGGGAATGCATACAGCGATGTGGTGGGAGCTTCACGGTGGCCAGCAGCCGAGACCGCAGACGATTGGGAAGAAGGTTTTGGGTATGTGGTCCACGGCCAGTCCTTGCGAGAGGAAGTGGTCCACCCACGAGTTCATCCACACGAAGAGGAGGAACCCCCTTTCTGCAGAGAGTGTCGAGAAGCTTGTTTTCATTCATTAAAACTTGCAGCTCCTCAGTGCCAGCAGGAGGACGAACAGCGGGTACATTTATGTGTGGGAGGACCAGGTGGAGGACCCCGCGGAGGAGATCGATGGTGACGACCGTGTCCCCGCAGCGGTGCCAGAGGAGGAGTGGGAGGAGATCGACAGGAGGAACAGGAGGAAGGAGGGGCGTAATCGATTTGGGAAGGGGAAGGCACCGATGGAGGATGAGGATGAGGATGAGGAGGGTGATGAGGCACTTTGGCAGGATGCGGTGTGGATGCACAGAGAGATGATGGAGGCGCAGCACGAGCAGAGAGATGTAGGCCGTACGTTGCCTGAGGACCAGCATGAATTATTGGACGCGTGGGGTGGAGTGGACCAGGGATACCGTGAGGAGTCTATGGGGGAGGGTTGGGGTCGGGTAGATTTGGAGGAGCTTTTGACCAGGGATAGCGAGGCAGGCAGCACAGAGGTGGGGCAGGAGGAGGAGAGAAGTCAGCACGTTCCACATTCGTCGACTGCCGGAGAGGGAGGTCATACTGGGGGTGTTTCAGTTGATGCACGTACGTCGGCTCCTGCAGCAACCCATCATGCTGCTGAGAGGATTCTGCGAGGGGCAGAGTAGGAGATGATTGGGAGGGAGGGTCATCATGCGGATGACAGGCCGGAGGACACACACCAGGTGCGCCAGGTCGCCGAGCAGGTTACACATCGAGGCGGCGGTTCACAGAGCATCACTCAGTCAATTGTCCAGAGGGTTGTGCTACGTGGTGGGGATGGTGATGGATATGTGGCGGGCGGAGGTGGAGAGCATATGGTCAACGACGTCATTCGTCCTATAGTGGTTCAGACCTCGGAACAGAGCATTGGTTGTGTTTCCTCAGCGCATGTTGTTGGAAGACGATGCGGCACAGCGGCAAAAGTTGACTCGTAGCAGTCAACCTCCGCGCTGCGTCAAAATTGCGCCTAGGAACGTCCACAGTCATGGTCAAACTGGACCTTAACGCATCGGTTAGATTTCCCCTTGGCCGAAACCGAGGGAAAGACGGCGTGGCGGTACGGTCCTCCGGAGACCTGATCGTCCCCGTTGGACTGGACCGTTGCGACCGCAAGGGGCCAATTAGTGAGGTCCGGTCCAAACGACACTCGAAATGGACTAAGGGTTAGTGAGATAATCAACTTTGACCGACCGGGATTGGACTGACACGGCCGCGTAACCTGGCAAGAAAAGGAACGGCCCTAAACAGTCATATAGATGAACAGCCAGGCCCTAGTAATTAAGATAGGGTCACGTGCCATTTGTTTTTGGCACGGGACTGACTGTTCGTTTCCCGAAGTCGGGCCTGCACCAGCCTCGTGCTAAGATTAGCACAGTCCCTCGCTATTTTTAGCATGGGTCTGACTGTTCGTCTACCAGGGACTGGGCCTGCGCCAGCTCCGTGCTAAAATTAGCACAGTCCCACGCTATTTTTAGCATGGGTCTGACTGCTCGTCTACCAGGGACTGGGCCTGCGCCAGTTCCGTGCTAAAATTAG